TTTCGCTTTTACATAGCAACATTTTTCATTTTCTTTCACAGACACGCGAGAGTTTTATTTCGATACTATTGTATAAACATAGGTATGTAGTCTTCGCATACTCACGCTGTCACTTGTAAATATATATATATGTATATAGTAGGGTTGCCAACATTTTCTAAGACATTTATGGTACTTTTTCAAAAAAAATTAAAATATATAGTACTTTTCTAATATATATACTATTTTATTTAAAAGAAATAGTAAAAACGCTCTTTAAGCATAATTTTTTTTTTTATTTCTTATAAATTGATCCTCTTTCCTTGAATGCCCATATCGCAGGAATAGAGCGCAGAAATGAAAAAATTTTAAAGAAATTTGGTAATTCATTCTAAATATTTTTAAAAATGTTGCCATTTTTGATCTATGGTTCCATTAATAAAGTCACCAAGACTTTTTATTTTAAAGAATATCTCTTTCAATTTTGTTATTTCAGTATAAATGTCATTCATTTTAATACACATTTTTTTCTGCAAATTACTGAAATATATTTGTATTTATGTGTGATTAAAGAAATATAGTATTTTTACGTACTATATTTTTTCCAACAGTGTATAGAACGCAGACCGAAAAAATTGTGCAATATAGTACGTTTGGCAACCCTGCTTGGCAAGTGGGAATTAGTAAATGCATGGCATTTTGGGACGACAAGCGTGGCAACAACATTTTATATTTGAATGAAAAATAGAGCAAAAACAAGCTGATAGCTATTTTTACCACCGTAGAATAGAATTAATGTGCCACTTCCACTTGCCGGCTGTTGTATGTATGTATGTATGTATGTCTACTTGGGGCACACTGCTGGGTGCAGGTGCACCGAAAGCAATGCGATATAGCGAACTGTGTAACACGAAAGTGCATTTTGTGAGACATGAGAATAAGGACAGCAAGGAATTTGCAAGAAAATACTATTTATGCACAAAATGATAAAAAGTATATAGAATTTTGAACCAGAGCGCACTTGAGCTCAAGTTATCGAGATATATGTACGTATGTACGTTTGAATACTAAAATGTTCAAAATGAAAAGAGTAATCGATAAAGCCATATTTTTCTGAAACTAGATTACAGGATTATGGAATGATTAAAAAATGAATCGATGAGAAGTTTTACTAATGATGGAAAACACGCGAAAATTTGCCACCGCTTGCCAAGGGATCGGCCCAGGAATCGAGCCTAGATCCTGCTGGGCGGCAGTGCGCGTTTTTAAGAGGAGGTTTAAGCGAAGTCGTATGTTGAACTTTTCAATTTAGGGGTTATATCTTTGAAAATTATGGTAAAACTTTCATTTTAGTGACCGTCCTTTCGAACTTGGTGATAAAGTCCGAACAAAGTTAATCGTGACTGGGGTTGGATTTTATGACAGGCCAGTCGGTTTCCTTTCGCCTGAAAATATAATATGTAGATAGAGACAGAGATAGAGAGAGAGAACTTACCAGTCATATATTTACCATTTCTGACCTCACCACTCAACATCTATACTCACCACAGCTGAGCCTATGACACCTAAATTCACCACACCTTAACCCACCATACCTCAACTCACCATACCCGAACTCATCACACCTAAACGCAGTGATCCTAAATTCACTAAACCTTAACTAAGCCCACCTGAACTCACCACACCAAATTTCAACACATGGCATGATCTTACGTGACATGATACTAAACGACATGATATGACATCACATAAAAATAACAACACATGGGATGATATCACATGACATTACATTACACGACGTGACATCTCATAACATCAAATGGCACAGCGTTAGAGAGCATGACATTCTAATTTGGATAATTTAAAAATAAAATATTTTGGAAAAAATGGGCTTCAATAACTTTTAAGTAAATTTCTTAGTCCAAAATTTAGGTGGCAACCCTATTCCGAACTACGCTGGAATGAAATATTAAAATATAGGCGACCCAGCGTGTGTTCAGGACACAAAAGTTTGTTCCTTTTTTTTTTGTGAAAATTTTTCGGCGAAATGAGTCAAAGTTTTTTTAATGTGACAGCATTTCCTCTCAACAAGAGAAGCATGATGTGATTAGTTTGTACCGTTTTTTGAGACAAATTAAAGTAAAAACAAAACCTTTGACTTGAACAATCTTGGAATGTAATCATTTAATTATGATGACGAGTTCCCAAAAATACAGATACATACGTACATATATGTATTTTTACGTATTTACTTATGTTGATGACTTAAATTAAGACAACCTTGAGCCCTTTGGTGGCCGAATAATTTTTCCATATGTCTCACATATTCGGTATCATTTACTATCAAACGCTAATTGAATATAAAAAAAAATGCCTACATTCATTTGAGTGACATAATTTACATATTTCTGAGTACAAGGGTATACACGTACATATGTATGTATATATGTATGTAAGTACTCGTGCAAACATAAAAAATATATTTACATATATATGCACAAAAAAAAGTTCATTCAGGGTCAAGAATACATATTCGTTGTAAATAATGTTTTCGTCGAGCAATGATTCCCAAGACGGCGATGAAGCTTAAAAAGTATCAGTACGTCTAAAGAATTGGATTGAGAATGTTAGACTGTAGAAACAAGTATGTACATACATGCCCTCTCCACTCTAGTATATCTACCCAAAGGGCATAGTTTTTGTTGCCATATTTAACAGCATTTTTTTTTTTTTATTTCCCCAATACATTCTCCTAAGTGGTAGATAAGCAAGCTAGGGCACCAATATTTATGATTTATGAACACTTAAGGTACCGTAAATGGCATTAGTGAAGGTTATTAGGTACTTGCGGGTTCTATAAATTGAAAAGATGAAAGATATATAATGCGAGAAAGGCGATTAAAATCCATAGAATGCGCATAAATAATATATGCGAGTACTTCAGATTAGAATCATACACGGAGACTGAAAAGGGAAAAATTGCAATACAAAATATAATTAATAGCTGGCAACGAGTGGATAGCACAAGCCGATATTATTAACTGTTTTGGTGCTCACACATTTTGCTGATAAATAGTCGAGCTACTACAACAAATTTGTGGTGCGCGATTAGATTTTATTACACAAATTAGGTGTTCTACAGTTTTACCTCACTTCCGAAGGGCAGATGTTTGTTTTAGAAGTCGTCAAATTACATAGATACCACTCTGCTAAGGCGGCCGATCTCAAGAACTATTTCTATTGAATTAATGGTGATATGAGGACTGAAGTAGGTTTTAGTCCAGCCAAATGTCTATCTACGCCTGATAAGCTAATTTGTTGACCTCCGAATTTGAAGTAATAAACTTTATCGCTTTGAACTATTGTTGATTTCCCTAGCTTTTGGACCTTGTGATCAACAACTACATATAATGCTAGCATAATTGCACTTTATAGCCGTAGGTTGTAAATCAATTTGAAAAAATTTGATAACATTTTATTTAGTGTAGTGTAAAGCCGACATGGGCACTTTTTTGCCCGCGCAGCAGCGAAAGTGCGAGCGGGTGCCAAAGGGAAGGGGAAAACCCGTTTACGGGAGGAAGGGTATGAAAAGGGTCGAAAAAAAAATATTTATATCTACACCGACATTATGTTCATCGCAGTACGGCTGCGGTAGTGATGTGCTGAATTGTCGGTACCCAATACTCGGTACCCTATACTTAAAAAAGATTTCGGTACCCAATACTTCCCTTTCGGTATCCGATACTGATTCTTTACAAAAACCTTCGTCATTATATGAATTTCAAGTTTAGAAAAATTATCCTCATATACACAATAAGCCATCGTTCGGACTTTGCTTCGATAGGAGTAGATTTGTTCCGTTTTGTTGAAATAATTTGAAACCTAGTCCACTACTCCGCTCAACTGAAAATCTGCTCCGTTTTGTTGCATCAACAAATTTACTTTTCAAATAGAAAGGCGGTGGGGTTTTTAATCGCAAATTAAAAGATATACTTTACCTTTTTATTAACACGACTGTTACATTGGTGAGCTACAACACCATTTATTTATTTAATTTTTTTAAATAATTTTTTTTTTGTATTAATCATAATGGCCCATAGTTTCGTGCGGATATCGATTGTTTCGTATGTTTTGAATTTTTTTGTTTTTTATCGCACGGTGTAATAAATAAATAATTTAAAAAAATTTTGAATACATATGTATGCAAATATTAGGCTACAAATTACACATTTTAAAATCCTGCTTAAATTTTATCACACCTCTGAACAATTTTAGCTTTAAAACGTTTATTTAGGGGAAAAAGTGTCCAAATTTCTAATTTTTTCATTGTCGCTCGAAAAAATCATAATTGTTTTTTTTTTTTTAATAACTTTGTGAAGTTTTCAAATAGAATATTAATAATAGACTCAAGGGACGTTGGCATCAAATACAACATATCTGTAAAGCATTAGGAGTGTGCCACCATATAAAAAAAAAATAGTAGCATGCAAGATATCTGTCGCAGGTATTTTGTAATTTCTGAAATTATACGATTTTTTTTTTAACAACAACAACCAATGTGAGACCAAATGAAAAAAGCTACACTGATTAAAAGATGACTTTGGTTTGAGAAACTAATATTTCATTTTTACAATTTTGATTGGCACACTCAAAATTTATACTTAAACTGTTACATACATGAAGAAAGTAATATATATGTTCACAGAGAATGCTGTGTAAAAATCTTCCACGCCAATATTCAGTTACTTTAAAATAATATGACTTTTAATTTAAGGCGTGCGACTAAACGTGCTAGCTGACTGTGTAGGGAGCTACGGGGCGTATACGTTACACATTCAACATACAACGTTAAATATGTACATATAAACACGTTTTTGTTGAAAAATTTAACAAATCGTGAGATTTGCTCATAGATATATGTATGAATGTATACTACCTTACCTATGTATGAATTATTCGATTTATATAAAGTTTCAGATACATATATCTAATCAAATTTCTTTTTCTTATTTTCTTTGCAGCATTTTATTATTCAGCACCTATTAAAATATAACAAAATAGGTAGTGTCATTATAATGTAATCCAGCGCATTTAAAGCAACAAGATACATTTAGTTTAGCTAACGTCACAAAAAATTTAAAGAATTTGCCAAAAAGCTTTTCGCCAATATTCCAAATCACAGAATCTACTCCATATAAATGCTGCTGAAAACAACACAGCAACTGAATGGTACAAGTGTTGCGCAGAAAAGTAGCAATAATATTGAATAATTTATACTGCATGCAAGAACCATAAAGTGCAAAATAAAATTTCCCAACAATGGCAGAAACCGCTTACTCTCAACTAGCCAGATAACTAGAAAACGGAGCAGAGGCATTGGATCACTCCAATAAAAAAAGCAGCAGCAGCAGGCAACGAGCAGCACGGCATTCACAAAACGATAGAAAAAAACAAACCCAGTTATAGTATTTAAGGAAATAAATATTATTGAAACCCCTGTAAAATTTTTAAACTTGCCAAGTAGAAAATTTTCAGTTTTTAAATGATGGATGAAGAAAAATTAAATATACCGTTAGTAACGAAAGAAACAGCCGACAGTGCGGTCATAGTACCACCACAAGCTGCTGGTGTAGTCGGCATAAGTGGTGGTGGTGGCGGCAATGTCATAGCCACTGCTGCAGTTGCCTATCAAAAGCATTGCGCCACACCTACCACCGCCTGCTGCTCAGCAACGGATGTTGTAACAAATACAACAAATACAGCGATGGTAGCTGCGGTTCCGGTAGTGGATACAACTACCAATGTCAATTTAAATGTAAATACTCAGTTAAGCATAGGAATGCCACAGCTAACACCGCCAACAACACCGTTACAATTGCAACAGAAAGAGCAACAACAACAACAACAACCACAACAACATCAGCAACAACTTACACTACTGCCCTACAGCAACCAGAGCAATTTGGTTGGTAACCACTTGAAAAATGGTGCGCTCAGTTACAAGTAAGTTTCATACATAACAGTACATATTTCTACAGAAATTTACAATTTCATTTAGAAGTTACTAAGCGTTAAAAGAAAAAAACAAAAAAAATATTATTCATACGCAGTGGTGGCAATTTCAGCTTAGCAGCGCATTTTCGTGCGAATTTCTGTGCTGGCTGTGTCTGTCCTTGCGGGGGCATTATGCACTATTGTGTTTTTTAAGAATGATAAAATATGCTTACATAGTCTCTTATCTGCTGCTTTACGTTGAATTTATTTTCTGTTGTGGCTATGTACAGCCAACAATAGTCATTGGTAGCTCATTGCAAATGTTTATATATTTACATTAAAAGTTTCAAATTAGTAATAACTAAGTTTTAAACACATTTTTATTAAATTTTAAAATTGTTTAGTGTTTGCTGAGAATCATCAAAAAAAAAATTATTGTATTATGACAACATGGCTATTTAAGAAACTAAAACCGATTCTCCAAAAAAAAAAAAACAAAAAAAAAACTTTCCAATAACTTTGATCTCTCCATTTGTTATATGTAATTTCACTTTAGAGAATTCTTCAGTTACCCAACAAAAGTTCCAAACTGCAGAAAATTCTCAGTTTTACTAACTGCATTAATGTGCAGCCATGCATACACTACGCAAATCCACCCACACGTCGGCAATGTTTTACACATTTGCACACATGCACATGTGTACATAAGCAAATATGTGCATACGAATTGCTCATTTAATACACTCTTTGGCGCAAGTAATCCCAGCTGTTTGTATGCGACCAGCGTTGCCGTACGTCTTGGTAAAATTGGACCAAATTTAGAGAGCCTTTGAAAGCTCTCTGTTGTCACAGTTGCTCCTACAGTTGCCACCCACAAAATAAAAGCTCGAATGTTGCTTTTGTGCTTTCTACAACAAAAATCAATATCCATATTTTGCAAAAAAAAAATTGCCCTTAGATTTTAGTTGGTAGGCAACAATTGTTTCAGTAGTTTTTGCAAACAAGTTGATAGGAAAAATATCTTCAAAGTGGCAACACTGTCTGTAAGATGTACGCTCGTCATAAAATTGACTATGTTGCTGTGTTGTGCAAATTGTTTGAAGGTTATTTAAAACAAATTGCCAAAGAAATAGTTTACAAATATGATTTGCACAACCGGCAAAGGTTCATCGAATTCCCACAGAGCCAATTAACAGTGTAATCATGTTTCTCGTCTTCAAATCTATATTGTTAGTAAATATAATAAAACATACAAAAAAAATAAAAATTTTAGTCAAATGCGGTGGATTCTTCATGTTTTTTTTTTTTTTTGAAGAACACTAGTTTTGACCAATTTTTTTAAGTTCAAGAAGTAATTGTGGCTCAAGGCCAATACTTTTCCGTGAAAGGGAATTACATTATCTTTCGAAACTATTTCGCTTCGTATCAAAATGTTACTTCTGTCGAAAGCGCTACGATTAATTCGCATGGAGTGTTCAAAAAGCACACTGTGCGGCGTGCCTTACTGCGCCTTAAAAATACTTTTGTTACTCTCTCTCAAAACTCAAAGATTTGAAGAGCCTTGTTTAGTGAGACTTTACGATTTATGAAACATATTTTATTTCTTATGAATGCAGGTCTTAGTTAATATATTTTCGAGGGTATTTAATCCTGGAAATTTAATTTATAACTTTATAACTCGATTCAACATGTTGCGCACTTTTTTAAAAGGCTATTTTTTTCAGTATTTGCCTTATCTTATCACTTTAACTGAATAAAATTTTTCAAATAGATGGCAACCCGCTACATAAAAATTTTGGACAGTAAACTTTCTTAAAACTCTGTAATACTTCATTTGCTTTATCATTATAATAATTGAATAAAACTTTTCCAACAATTTGATATTTACTATTTAATTTATTTTATATATTAAATCAAATTAAAATTTTCAAACGGGTAGCAACCTTCCACAAAAATACTTTCGGCTGTAAGCCTTCTTAAACCACTTCCTTCTTATCCATTTATTTAAACTACAATTTTCAAACAGGTGGTAACTCTCGAATTATTGTTTTTCTATATTTTATTCATTTTCGTGTGATGCCCGTACAAACATACAGACAGACAAAAATTCTAAAACTTATTGATTTTCTATTGCTCTAATAAAGACCACCATAGAATTCAATAAATTAAAACTATTTTTCACTTAAACTGCCTTTGTGAAATAGGCGAGACGACACGAGATACTCTCGGTCAGGGATGCACGCGCAAAATTTGCTCCATTTTTTAAATTTCTCGCCTGGTTTTCCATCAATACACTACTGGAGTTCATATGCCTGAAACTATGCAGCGAACGGTAAATTTGCTTTGTGGAATTCTCTTAGAAAAAACAACAAACATAGGCTGTTTCTAATGAAAAATTACAGACTTTCTGCTCGGTTACCAAAAAGAAGAATCAGTTGCAAATTTTCTGCTGAGTTAATGCAAATTTTACCCATACCGAAGGCAAAGATGTTTACACATCACAAATAATCTTAATTGCGTACGTTATTTACCAAAGTAAATACAAAAACAACAACAGTGTTAAAGAAGCAATAGCAGCGAATGTGAATTGAAGTGTTTTGTGCGTCGTAGTGTATTGAAATTCCATGAAATCAAAGCAGATTTGGGGGGGCTGGAGTGAACTGAAATTCGTTTGAAATTCGCTGGTGTGGTCTAACTTCTAAGAACTTCAAGAAGTTAGCTAGCGAAAATTCAAAAATTAAAGGCTCACTGCATACATGAAAAGCGACATCTTAAAAAGTAGTGCTATTCTGTAAACACTTATCGACAATATTCGATAGATTGCCTTATCTGCAGATTCCTTTTTCCATCTTTGAACCATGGGTGTAGATAAAAGTACCAAAGTTGCCATCAATAGGCCAATGTTCCATTCATAGATGGTTTAGAAATTGTATAAGAATGAAGCAGAATGACTTGTTGTATTCAGTTTCGATTTCGAGGCCGGCTTTAACCCGTTGCACGCGTCGCATTTAAGCTGACCCGACCCAAGCTCGCTGGGCTTCCGTATGCGGTCTGTTTTCATCATTTTCATTTTCTTAATGTTAGGACTCCTTTTGCAGTATTAGTGGCTTAGTTGAGAATTAAAACAACTCCAATCATTAATAACTGCACATTGTTCTTGCACTGAATAAAAGGGCCGCTTCGTGGCAAGCACGGCAGCCTCATTTTTTGTTTCTACTTAATTTTTGTTCATATCTAAGTGCTGTTCAAAAAAAAAGGTGCAAATTAACAGCCATTTCATTTAAACTTTTCATACTGAGCATAATTTTAATTTAAACTTTTGCACATCTGCCGTAGGTAGCGCCACAACATGACCCATAAAAATCATGAAAATTACTTGATTCAACGATTCAAAGCAAAGAAACTGGGTCGATTACATCAAGCGCCGGCAAGTTGTTGCACTGCATTGTACGAATACACAAAAAATACTTAGTTCACAGTTTTTGCACACCTGTGCACCGGCTATATTCGTTTAGATCTGGATGTGTGTATGTACATATGTGTGTATACTAGACCGGGTCGTTCGCCGCTATGCGATAGAAAAAAAATTTTGCAATTATCCCACATAGATATGAAAATTATCTTTTCAACCATATATGTATATATCATACTTTGGAATAAAATAATAAATAAAAGAGTTTTGAAGAAAACATGATTTAAGCTGTTTTTGGGACTTAAGCCAAGCAGAGCAATTCTGGCTAAAATAGTAAAAATGAAATGAAAAACAGATGGCACGATAGTTCGAAATACTTTTGTTATTCTTAGCCTTAGAAAAAACTCTCTCATTCACCGCACGCGATGAAAATCTATTTTGCGATCAAGCACTTTTATATCGTTTAGCTCGCATCGTTCCAACAGTCACAATGGCCGAGTGAACAAAGCGCAGGCGTACCATTCGAGAAATTTGAGTTAGAGAGCTCGCTCAGGGAATTTTTTTTTAATTAATTTAAAATTAAATTTTTTTTCTTAATTAAATTTATTTTTAGTTTTATTGTTTTATATATAAAAAAAACATATAAATTAAAAAAATTAAAAAATTTATCTATGGCCTTAAACAAATGATATTGAGGCCTCAAGTTGTTTAATAAATTTTTAAAATTCATTTAATTTTCAGAAACTTATTTTTTTCTATTTTAAATAATTTTTTTCTTTCATAATTCAATTTTCTTTTAATATTTTTTATGTTATTCTTATAAAAAGAAGAATATTTTTTTATTTCATTAAATTTTTAGGAACTTATTTTGTGTATTTTTTCTTTTTTTTAATTTTTTCCTTATTTATTTAATTTTCTTTAATATTTGGATGTTATTCTTCTAAAAAGAAGAATATATTTTTTAATTTAATTTACCTTTTAGAATATTATTTTATTATTCTTTCTTTTCAACTTCGTTTCTTTCATAATATAATTTTCCTTTTATTTATGCTTTATTTCCATTTAATTCGTTTTTTTTAATTACATTTTCTTCCATTTATTAGTTTTTTATTGTTTTAAAAAGCGGCGCTGTGGTGTAGTGGTTAGCAGTGCTCGCTATCACGTCCTGGCTTCCCTGGGTTTAACCCAGTTTCCACCCAACGACCAAAAGTATATATTTTTTTTATTTAGTTTAACTTTTAAAAAACTTATTGCTAAAAGGCAAACAGCATAACGCTTAGGCCTTCTCGTTAGCAGACCTCTCAATTAGTCTTTCGAAAGACAGTAAAGAGCTTTCGAGATAGTTTCCAGAATTGACATACAGTTGCCAGAATCGCACTATACCACTCTCTCAAAGTAAGCTTCCAAACAACGGGCGTAATTGCAAACATATTTTTGCGACCCAGTCTAATGTAAGACTGAGTAATGCGCAAGCAAAAAATGCTTAAGCAGAAAAAAAATATTCTTAACGTTGCAATGCAGTGCAAACTACCCACAGCTTGTCAGTGAAGTGAGGCGCTTTCTACCTACATACATACTACATACCTACGTGTACAGC